AGTGATGAAAGTAATTTTGAATAAGTTAGAGTATAATAATATTTTTATAAAATAATGATTTTATCAGTCGGTCATTTTTAATTTGTTATAAGTTGTTTAATTTTAAAAAGATTTCAATTTGAATCTTTTGAAGAATTTTAATTCCTATGAAAATAATAAAAAATTAAATATTTTTTTAAAAAAAGATAAATATAACAATGCAGAATACAGAAAAATTTTTAATCTGCTAAGAATAATTGATAAACTGTTAAATATAATTTATAATTAATATCTTTTTTCCTGTTTTTTTTTTTAAGTTATTAAATTATTTTTTTTTACTCTTTAACTTAACACTTATATTTTAAGTATACTGCTCCGCAACGATTTTGTCAAGTGAATAATATATTTGAAGTTCGAGGGGCGAAGAAGTACAGAGCGGAAACAAGAACATGTTTTTTTTTCTTGTTTCTCCTTTTTTTTCCTCTCACTAATAACCAGAGAAATCAGAGTGGCTCGTGCCGAGGAGTCGTCACATTTCCTTCTTTCATTGAGAACGAAACTTGCGAGGCAGGCAAGCAGGTCAAAAGTTGGTTTGTCTCGAAAGAATCTGTGACATTTGGTGGACATGTGTTTTGCAAACCATGCTTCTTCATTTCAAAAATTCATTTACAACTATATAGGTATATGCGCTTAATTGCGTGGACAGATGTTTTTCTTTTTTTTTTCTCTTTGAAAGATGATATTTACTTTACTTCATAACTCTCTACCTTAAAAAATTTTTCAATTTTTTTAATAAGATAAAAACTTCTCTCACTAGGTAATATATAACGTAAATTATATATTAAAAAATTATTTTTTTATTAATTTATAAAAATATAATTGATATTTAATAATTTAAATATTAAATTATAATTTAATATTTATTAATTTATATTATTAAATTCTTATTTTTTATTGAAATTAGTGAAAAGAGTATAAAAAATAGAATAAAATTTAATAAAACTAGAAGATTGTAAGAGATATAGAAACAATGAATGAGTAGAAATGTTTTAATAAAAAAAAAACAATCATAATTAAAACATTTAAAACCGATTGTTTAAGATGAGTTTTACTAATGGTTTTTGATAAAAAAAAAAGTTTAATTACTACTATCATTACTAATTTATTTACGAGGGAAAAAAATGAAAAGGACTTGAATAATTTAGATTAGAATATTGTACGATCATTAAATAAATGATAAAGAAGAAAATTGTCTGTAAAATTAAAATTTATAATAATATTAAATTTTAAAATATTCGATTTAATTGTCCATAAATGTAAAATTTTTTCCTCACATATCAAAGAAGCCTTGTTCCGCTTGTAAATGCACATGCGAGAAAGACACGCATGCTTGCTACTGACACTAACCTTACCTCAATGAGAGAATTACTTCTCTTCTTTGAAGATAAAAGAAGAAAAATAAAGCGAAGGAACTTGCTTTATAAACTGGTAGAACGCAGAACTGCGATCGATGATCCACGTTCTATTATATATGCACAAATACACGCACAAAAATATAAGTAATGTATACACTTCCTAAATTTGGAGAATTTAGGTATAAATAAGTGAATTTATTTAATTTGATTTATTTTAGGTAAATTTTAGATTTATTTTTATGAATATGTTGTTTTTCTTTTAAAACTCAAAAGATAATAGAATCAAAAAATTGTTTTTACGTATAATTTAAATATTAATATAATAAAATTCATTATACTTCCTTTTTCTATTGTATTTGCCTTGAATTATTTTTATCATTACCTTGATTTCTATTTTAATAGTTATTTGACCTAGTTTTACTTCAAAATGTGAAATAATTTAAAACATTTTGCGTATATATGTAATTTTAGCTTTACAAAATAAACAATTCTTCAAAATCAAATATTGGTTTAATACAAAACTTTATTCGAATAAACGTTTTTTTTTTGAAATAAAAACAACAATAAACAAATTTTTAATCAAATTCTTTCAAACGATTCAATTATTTTGAAAAAAAATTTTTAGAAATTCAATTATTTTCAATACTTGCTATTTTAATAAAAAAATTTCACAAAAGAATTCAATTATATTTATAAATTTTTTATAAAATGCTTTGCAAAAATTCAATTACTATTTTATAAATAATAAAATTTTCACAGGAATTCAATTATTGAAATTATACAAATTTTTCAAAAAAATCAATTGAGGCCTTGGATCCAATAACTCGCCCGACGCTCGAAGACACGCGCTAATACCAGTCGGGTAGCAGTGAGTGGCCCAGAGGCGCTCACTGCTCACTGACTGGCAGTTGCGCGTTCCTCCGAGCGTCGGTCGAGTTATTGAATCCAAGGCCTCAATTACTTAAAAAGATTTTTATAAACTTCTTCACAAGAATTCAGTTAAACAAGAAAAAATAAAATAAATAATAAAAATAAAATAATAAAATTTGTTGCAAGAATTCAAATATTTTCATAAAACTCATCGTGAGATTTCAATTATTTTTAATACAATTTTAATCGAATTCCTCGAAAAAATCAATTATTTATTTAGTTTTTTTTTATAAAATTCTTCTTAAGAATTCAATTGTTTTTAAAAATAGTAAAATTCTTCTCAAGAATTGAATTATTTTCATAAAAAGAAACTCATCCTGGATTTCAAGATTTTTAAATGATTTCCTGAAAAAATGCAATTATTCTTAAAAATTTTATTAAAATTGAGGGCGTGGAACGGATAACTGCCAGTAACGCATGGTCGAAAGGGACTATACCAATACCAGTCAGACATCAGTGAGAAGCCTAGAGGCGCTCACTATTGTCTGACTGGTATAGTCCCTTTCGATCATGCGTTACTGGCAGTTATCCGTTCCACGCCCTCAATTATTCGAAAAAATCGAATCCTGAAACGTATTTCTTTATGATTAGAACAATTCGGCAATGGTACTTTTTGTCAAGGTTGGCCCACCATTTATAATATGAATTTAATAGATACTTTTTAAATAAATTGCCAAAGATATTAGAAAAATAATATTAAATCCCATAAATTTCGTTTATTATTTCGTTAATAAGTTGGTTTGAACTGTTACGTGTTACTTTTTTGTAACAGTAAAGTATTACTTTTTTATTTTTTGTATTTGTATAACCCTTTACAAGTTATACGCTTACTAACTTACTAATTAACTTACCAACTTACTAACTAATTTACTAACTTACTAACTAACTAGCTAACCAACTTACAAACTTAATTACTAATTAATTTACAAACTAATTGCCAAACTAACTTACTAACTATCTTACAAACTTTATTACTAACTAACTTACAAATTGTATTAGTAATAAACTTACTAACTAACTTACAAACTTAATTACTAATTCACTTACTAACTAACTTACCAACTTACTAAATAATTTACAAACTTAATTACTAACTAACTTAGTTACAAACTAACTTACTAACCTTACTAACTTACTAAAAAATTTACTAACTCAATAACTAACTAGCTAACTCACTAACTTAATTACTAATTAACTTACTAACTAACTTACCAACTTACTAACTAACTTACAAACTTAATTACTAACTAACTTAGTTACAAACTAACTTACTAACCTTACTACTTAACTTACTAACTAACTTACTAACTATCTTACAAACTTACTAACTAACTTACAAATTTTTTTAGTAATAAACTTACTAACTAACTTACAAACTTAATTACTAATTAACTTACTAACTAACTTACCAACTTACTAACTAACTTACAAACTTAATTACTAACTAACTTAGTTACAAACTAACTTACTAACCTTACTAATTTAATAAAAAATTTACTAACTTAATAACTAACTAGCTAACTCACTAACTTAATTACTAATTAACTTACTAACTAACTTAGTTACAAACTAACTTACTAACCTTACTAACTTAATAACTAATTAACTAACTAACTTACAAACATAATTACTAATTAACTTACTAACTTAGGGCCAGTTTTACCAACACCGATTAAAAGTTAATGAATGATTAAATCCTTAACCGACGAATCATGAACAGTTAAATTTACTTTAATCATTGATTAACTTTTAATCGGAGTTGGTGAAACTGGCCCTTAGAATAAGGTAGTAAGTAATTAAGTTAGTTTGTTAATAAATATATTTGCAACTAAGTTAACTAGTTAGTTAGTTAGTAACTAAGTTAAGTAAGTAAGTTAGCTAATTAGTAAGTTAGTTAGAAACTAAGGTAAGTAAGTTAGCTAATTTTTAAGTAAGTTAGCTAATTTTTAAGTTAGTTAATAAGTCAATTAGTAGGTAAGTTTATAAGTTAGTTAGTAAGTTAGTTAGTAACTAAGTTAAGTACGTAAGGTAGTTAGTAACTTAATTAGTAATTACGTTTGTATGTTAGTTAGCTAGTTATTTATTAACTAAGTTAATTAGTTAGTTGCTAGCAATCGTTGACTTGGTTTCGATTTGAAGTAAAATTTCATTCATAGTAAAAAATAACACTAAAATGGATTATTTTAATCCTTTTTGATGTTGATTTAATCTGCAGCGCTTTTTAATCCCTCACAATTTACTGTGTGTTTCATTATATAGTCAAAAGTGATTAATTCAGATTTAGAGAGTAAAAGAAAAGAAAAAAAAAGAAACCCAACAAATATGGAACAAAGGACATTACCTTGACAATGTTTCGCTAGTCATTGTCGTCTTTTTGGTGTCATTATCGTTTAGCCATTTTCGCGCCACGCAGTGACGTTTCGCTTTCGTCTCGAGTGCAGTCTGAGCACATGGACAATTTCTTTTCTTTTTCTTTAAAAGCCAGATGCGTGGGTGGGTCGTCGCATCGTCGTTATGGAAGTTGAAGACGAACGACGAATCTTCTCTCTTGGCTTTCGTTTGTATAGTATATATATACACATGCAGTAGAAGAAAAGAAGACCAGAGAAAACGTGCTGCGATCACATGCCGGTATAGAAGCAATATGCTATATAGCAGTCTCTCACTTCCAACTCACAGTTTTGCTTTTGCTCTGCCCCCTTCGCTTATATACATGTTGTATATATCTTCGTTTTCGTTTCGTAAACTCAGCTCTACTCTATACTCTATAGTTTGCTCTCTATACTAAAAGCTGTCAGTGTGTCTTGTGCAGTGTTCTACTGTGCTGCCCTGTTAATCTTCTTCTTCTTCTCTTCTTCACAATAATATTCTCTGCGTGGTAAATCCAGTATCACCACATTTTTTTTTTCCTAAATGCCCTACGTTTTCATTTTTAAAAAAATAACAAACCAGTTTTCTCTTAAATGCAATTTTGTTTCTTATTTTGCAACAAAAAAATCTCTTCATTTCTTTGCGGATAAAATGGAAAAAATTTCACATCAAAAGTGCAATGACAATATAAAGGATAATTATTAATTTTCATATACTCTATACGGTAAGTCTTTAAAAAACAGTTATAAGTTTACTCAAAAAAAAAAAAACACTGGTTAATTTTCAATCAAAACGTTAGAATCTAGAATTGTAGCAAACTATAATAATTTTATACTTCTCTCATTTAAAATTGTTACAAAAGTGCTTCAAAGATATATGTTTTGTTATTGAAGAAATAATAATGTCAAATTTAGATTCTGCCGGGAGGTTTAAATGCATATAATTTCAATTTCAAGCTTTTATTTTATCATCAAATCATACCAAACTTAAATTCATTGTCAACTATTTATTTTTCATATTCTCAAGAGCATTTTTGTAATTTTTTAAGTGAATTCTAATTTCTACATAAAATTTTGAAAAATTACAAAAATGCTTTTGATAATATGAATAACAAACAATTGCGACAATGCACTAAAGTTTGGGATATTTTGATTCAAGTTAGTTAGCAATTATGTATGAATGTTAAATATTTAAAAGTCTCAGGGCCTTGTTTAAAAAAATAGTAAATTTAAAATCATTCATGTTTTTTTAAATTATGCTTCGATCCGTTATTGGATCTTCATTAGTAATTTATTTTCTGAAACTATTATAAAGAAAAAAACAAAGTCTCAAACTGTTTACATGCTATAAACTAATGATTTATTAGGATAACTAATTATTAGGATGTCATACAACCTAATAATAAACTGATTAAAAAGAATAGTTTATTTTTAAACTTAAAATTAGATTAAGTTAACTTCAAGACTTAGAATTATACTGTCAAGGCTGAAATTCAGTCAAAAATGTTTCTAATGTAATCGGTTATAGTCAAGGGCTCGCAATAAGATTTATTTTTATTTTATAAGAAAAAATTGGTAATAATAATAATAAAAATAATAAAAATAATAATAATAATAATAATAATAATAATAAAGGAACGCCTGGTGGTGCATAAGAAGTTATTCTGAACAAGTTGCCACGTTATTTTTAAAAGTACAAGCACGCACAATGCACGCATGTCAAATATTTTCTTTCTGATTTATTAACTATTATTAATATGCAAAAATCGTTATTTTTAATGTCAATAATTAATGTGACGCACTACGAAGAAAGGTACCCAAGAAGTATAAATTTTTTAGGTTATGTTTCTGATTGTTTATAATATTCGATAATAATAATATTTCTAGTTTAGATGTAAGTTTTATTACATTTAAAAGAAATTTTAATTTTACTTTAAAACAAAAATTACATCTAAACTAAAATGTCTAAATCCAAACAACTGAAACATTAAAAAAAAAAAAAATCTATTTTGCGATTTTGTAAAATGAAAAATAATTTTTATTGGATATATTTTAGATGTAATAACAAACAATAACAAACATAACCTATCAGCTTTTGTATTCTTTCTTCGTTAGTGCTTTATACAAATTCTTTGTCAATTATTGTGATTTAATAAATAAAATAATTTTTGGTGTCAAATTTTATTTAAATTTATTAGCGTCAAAATTTTTAAATTATAATTACAAGATCCGCTTAAGGTTCTATTTTTATTTATATTATAGTTTTCAAATATCGGACAAAATTTAACTTTAATTTTGATTTTGTTGAAGTTATAGCGTCGATGCGCTCAGCGTTGAAAACTATTATTTGGGGTTTTTAGAGATGAAAATGTCACTAATTTCATTTTTTTTGATTCAATTTAGAAATTAAAACACCGTCATGGCAGTTTTTTAACCTAAGGCCTTTGAAACAATACTGTTTAATTTTTTTTCGATTACGTGAAAAAAAAAATTGTTTTTGATGATCAGCGTCGACGCTAATTTCAGGGATCTAAATATTACGTCAATACTGCATGGTAATAATGACAATATAATTATTTTAATATAATTATAATATAATTATTTTAATATAATTATAATATAATTATTTTAATATAATTATAATATAATTATTTTAATATCATTATTATTATAATTATAATATTATAATATAATATTACAATATAATATTACAATATTGCGAGGCAATGTTGCAAATAGCGCGAAATTGTCTGGATTTTGGTGAGGGAAAATTTACAATTTTTGCGTTGTGGAATTCTTGAAATATTTTTAGGTGGAATTTCGAAGAACCTATAGGAGTAGTATTCCATTAAGAATTAGGTAGGTTGCTCACCCGGTATATTAATAGATCCCGAAAACTGTCAGTCGAAGTCGAACCAAAAGCGTGTGGATGCTTTCAAAGATCGGCTTTGGCTTTTAATCTCGTCAGTTGTTTTTCAACACAAAAAAAGCATTTTTTTTTCACTTTCTTTTTAACAAATTTAGATCTGAAAACAGTTTCATTTGTCAACTCCCTGTGGCGCTATAATCGTTTTTCTATTTACATAATCAACACATATCAACCATAAAGCCCAATATAATACTGCAATGTTGTCTTAAAGTAAGAAATTTTCCACTGCTTCAAAATGGGTCGTGTTTAAATAATGTTAAATTTCATTATAATAAAAAATAAAAAATAAAAAAAAAATGAATTAATAATTAAATATTAACTTAATTAATTATTCATTATTAACTTTATTAATTACTAATTATTAACTTAATTAATTGAACCCCTTGATGCAAGAACCAGACGCAGCCCATTTAATTTCAATAAGCTATGTCTGGTTCTTGCATCAAGGGGTTCAATTATTAATAATAATGTATTAACTTAAATGGTAATTAATTGTTAACTAACACCTTAACTAATAAAAAATTATTAATATTGTTTATTTATTATAATTAAAGTTAATAATTATTTTATTAATTGTTTAACTATTGTTTTGAATATCTACGTTTGTATTCTTGTTGTTTTGTTATACAGACAAGAAAAAAATTCTCATGGACTAGGAATCGAACCCTAATATGTTTGTTAGAAATCCTATCTTTAAGCATCGCGACCAACAAAGACTGGATAAAAATTTTCACAAAAATAACTTATTTATCAGTAAAATAATTGGAACTTGAAACAATTTTTTTTTATTATCAAATGGCAATTTACGTTCAAACTTTTTTTTAATTTTCTATTTTAAAAACCAAAAAAAAAGTCTAAAGGGTGATTTTACATTTTTTGTTGTTTTACTATAAATATACGATGCAAAAAATTGTCAGTGCATTTTTTAACTTACAATTTTTAATTATTATATTTATATATTATAAATATATTATATTATTATTATTATTATTAATATATTATTATAAATATATTATAAATATATTATTTATATTATATATTATATTATTATTTTTTTAAAAATAATGTGTACAATGTTGAATGTCGTTATAAATGACGTAATTAAGAAGAATTATTATTCAAAAATCTGTGAGTAATGTGAGATATGTGCGGGTATTACACAATGGGAGAACAATGAACGATAAAAACGTTAAATAATAATGTAGGCTGATCGTGTAGACATTATTGTAAGTAGCTGTATACATATAATATCATCAGATAGGTATTTAAATTACAGTTATGCAGATCGGTAAATGACTGAAGCTCTACGTTTTGGCACTCGAGCAAATTAAAAAAAAAAAATTACCGAAAGCTTGGGGCAATTTTGCTACAATATTGCAGTAGGTTGGTGCCAATTTCACAACAATATTGTCGTATTATATTTCATGGCAAACTTGCTGAAAGCTTTGCCGGCAATATTGCGACATGCTTGCTGATTGAATCGAAAAAATTAAGATTTTAAAATTAACAAAAAAATTAATAGTAATAAGTGCAATATACAATTATTATTAAAAGAATATAAAGTGTATATGCAAAATCACAAGTGATATCTTGTAGGCGTAAATGCATAGGATATAATTGCGTTTATAAGGGCACGCGCCAATGCACCGGAAGTATGCAACTTGCGCGCACTTTATTTGCAGGTGCTTCTTAAGAAAACCCCTTTCCATTGCCATTTTATTATATCTAGCCAGCAAAGTTATTTTCATTTTTTATTTATTTTTTATTAAATAATTCAATTCTTCTCTGAAATTCAATTATTTTCAAAAATTTTCCTCAATTCAATGATTTTTAATATCTACTATTTTCATAAAATTTTCCAAAAGAATTCAATTATTTAAAAAAAAAAAAAATGTTAATAAAATTCTACACAAACTTTTAATTATTTTCAAAAAATAATAAAAATTCCACAGGAATTTCATTATTTACAAATTTTTTTTCTATAAATTTCTTCGCAATCATTCAATTATTTTCATAAATAATAAAATTTTTACAGGGATTCAATTATTTTTGTAAATAATAAAATTCTTTTTAGGAATTTAATTATTTTAATAAATAATTAAACTCATTGCAGAATTTCAATTATTTTTAATACAATTTTAATCAAATTATCCTCGAAAGAATTCAATTATTTAAAAATTTGTTGATAAAATTATTTATGAGATTTGGATTTTAAGAAACATTCAATTATTTAATAAATTATTTTTTTGTATTACAAATTATTGCAGAAATTTTATTATGTTCAAGAATAATAAAATTCTTCTTAGGGATTCAATTATTTTCACAAATAATAAAACTTTTTGCAGAGTTGCAATTATTTTTAATACAATTTTAAACAAATTTCTTGAAAAATAAAATTATTTTTTAAAATTTTGTTAAAATTCGTCGAGAGAATTCAGTTATTTAAAAATTTATTTGATAAAATTTTTTTCGAGCATTCAATTTTAAGAAACATTCAATTAATAAATTATTTATTTTTATATTAAAATAATTGAATTCTAGTAGAATTTTCTAATAAAATCTGATTTAAAAATGAATTTTTAGTTAAAATTTTACATAATAATTGAATATTAAGAGCATTTTAGAATAAAATTTTTAAATTAATTGCTTTTAGAAGAGGTTTAATTTTAAAAATAATTAATTATTAAAAATAATGGATTTATAGAAGAGTTTTAGTTAAAAAGCACTAAAAAAAATTAAATTTTGAAGAAGTCACAAATAAATTTACGAAAATCAATTACTTTCAAAGGTATAATAAAATTCTTATCTCAAAATTCAAAAAAATAAAAATGTTCAAAATTTACAAAAAAAAAGACAAAATCCCAATTATTATCTTTATAAATAAAAAAATTCTTCTTCAAAATTCAATTATTTTCAAAAATTTTAATAAAATTCTTGTCAAAATTTCAATTTTTTTTCAAAAAAATTTCCTCATTTCAATGATTTTCAATATCTACTATTTTAATAAAATTACCCAAAAGAATTCAATTATTTAAAAATAATTTTAATAAAACTGTACCCAAACATTAAATTATTTTCATAAATAATAAAAATTTCACAGGAATTCAAATATTTACAAATTTTCTGTAAATTTCTTTGCAATATAATTCAATTTTTTTTTTAGAAATTAATAAAACTCATCGCAGAATTTTAATTATTTTTAATACAATTTTAATCGAATTCCTCGAAGAAAAGTGTAATTATTCTTAAAAATTTATGAAAAGAATTCAATTGTTTCAAAATTTGTTGATAAAATTCTTTATGAGAAATTAATTTTAAGAAACATTCAATTATTTAATAAATTATTTATATTTGTATTCAAATAATATAATTGAATTCTCGTAAAATTTTCTAATAAAAATGGATTTAAAAATGGATTTCAATTAAAATTTTAGATAATAATTGAATTTTAAAAGCATTAGAGTGTAAATTTTTAGAAATAATTGAATTTTCAAAAGGTTTCTTATTGAAATCTTTGAAAATTTGAATTTTTCATATTTTTAAACTAACAATTCTGTGGAATTAATTTTTTTTTTCGAGAAACTTTTTAATTGCGGATTTTTTTTTAAATTATTTAAAGTTTTTATTTTCTAATATATATGTAATTGAGGAATTTCCGAATAATTGAAATTTTGTAAAATTGAATTGTAAATAAATGAATTTGAAAATTCTTAAAAAACTTTTTTAAAAATTACAAAAAATAATGGATTTATAGAAGATGTTTAGTTAAAAACACGATAAAAAAAATTCAATTTTGTAAAAGTTACAAATTATTGCAAACATTCAATTATTTTCAAATTATTATTTTTCGCAAAAATTAAATATTGTTCAAAAGTAATAAAATTCTTCTTAAGAATTCAATTATTTTCACAAATAATAAAACTCATTATTTCAATTATTTTTAATACAATTTTAATCGAATTTCTCGAAAAATGTAATTATTCTTCATAATTTTATTAAAATTCGTTGATAAAATTCAATTATTTGAAAATTTGGTAGTAAAATTCTTTATGAGATTTGCAGTTTAAGAAACATTGAATCATTCAATAATTTATTTATTTTTGTATTTAAATTATTGAATTCTAGTAGAATTTTCTAATAAAAATTGATTTACATTTCATAAAAATTAATTTCAGTTAAAATTTTAGATAATAATTGAATATTAAAAGCAATATAGCGTGAATTGTTAAAAATAATTGAATTTTGAAATTTCATTTTTTGAAAACGTTTAATTGAATTTTATAAATATTATTTTAAGTTTTTATTTTCGAATATTTATTTAATTGAAGAATTTACGAATAATTGAAATTTCGTAAAATTGAATATTGTTTAACAGTCACATGCTGTTAAAAAAACAAGTTTAAAAAAGCGACAGAGATAGCATTTTTTTTCTTTGTGTAAAGAAAGAAAATGTATTTTAGACAAATTGATAATTAGCTAATTATATAATTGAAGATAAATGAAAAAGAATAAATTAACCAGTAAGATGGCAATCTTGGAAGTAAATCTGTATAATAGAATGTGCATCTCTGATTGCACGCTGCAAATCGTGAATGGACCGACCATGTCCCTTGCTTCCACCGATCTATAAATATAATCTTGACGACTATTTCCAGAGATGAATGAAACTTAAACTCGAATCACATTCACATACAGTGAGAGAGAGAGAAAGGAAACTGAAGTGTAATAAAATTATTTCGATACGATGCAAGTGTGCATATTAATCGTTTCTCAAAAACGATTAAATAGAGAAAGCAAACTATTATTAAATTAAAAAATAGGTTTACTAAAAAGAATTTTTGTTTCAGATTGCAACTAATACTTGACGAAAAAAATCGTCATGGCTGTTGGTAAGTACTTTATTCTTAAGTCGTTGTTGTATGTACAAGTATCCTTCTAGTGATGAAGAAATAATAAAAATATTCAAACCACGTACTTTTACGTATATAATCACGTGGTTTGATTAAATTCTATCCACTCGCATGCTTTTTATAACGTAAATATAGTATTTTTCTTAAAAGAAAAAACTTTTATTCTTCAATCAAATTTTTTTTGCTATTATATTGAAATTATAATCCAGAAAGAATTACAAATTTTTTTTTTATTATGACAATATACCTTTATTGATAAATGTAATTCTTTTTGAAGAAAGATTCTCAATTTTCATGTAAGACGATTCTTCTGATCGCTAACATAAGGGTCGTGAGAATTGATTTTTTTATATTCTCACCCATATCGACTTTCAATTTCTCCTGAATCGGTATAATCTTTCATCTCTACTGAGAGCAAAAAAAGGTTTTTTTTTCACGAGTAGCAAACAGGTGTTTATTCTCCATGTACTTGACGATTTTTATTTTTTAAAAGATTTTGGAACATATTTTAAAATTTAATAATTCACCTGCTGTTTAAATGTTTTATTTCTTCTTCTTTTTTTCTTTTTATAACGTTGGTAACGTACATTCTCACAAAATTTTCTTTTCTTCATCTTCTTTACTACAGTTAAGCGCATGTTACTACTGCGCATGTTCTGAATTTTAGGAGTGGGGGGTCATCCCCACTTATTGCTTTAATGCGCAGTGTTCTTGCGCGCGCGCTGAAGGCGAAAAGTGAATGCTACTTTAGAGATTTTTTTTATGAAACTAATGGAGATAAAACTTTTTTTGCTTTTATTTGTGTCTAGTACAACCCTTCTTCTTCTCAGACTTTGCACTCGATAATTAATTTTCAAAAAGTAGCAAAAAGTAGCTATCGAAAAATTAAACTTGACGACAAAAAAAAAAAACTCGTTTGGAAATTTTATGAAAATAGTAGATATTAAAAATTGATTTAATTTAATTTAAAATTTAAATATTGAATTTCGAAAAGATTTTAAAAATAATTAAATTTTACAAAGAAATTTATTAATATTTTTGACAATAATTAAATGACTGTGTGGTATGTTATTACAGTTTTTTAAAAATTATTGAGTTTCTAAAAAGCATTTTATTATTTACAAATAATTAAATTCTTGCGAACAATTTTATTAGAATTTTTTAAAATAATTGAATTTCCAAGAAGAAATTTATTGCTGTTAAAAATAATTGAATTCTTGTGATGAATATTGTTATTTATAAAAATAGTTGAATTTTGCAAAGAATTTTCTCGAAATGATTGAAAATAATTGAATTTTGCAAACCCTGAATTTCAGAGAAATTACAAATGATTGCAAAAATTCAATTATTTTCAAAAGTAATAAAATTCTTCGCAGAAATTCAATTATTTTCAAAAGTAATAAAATTCTTCGCAGAAATTCAATTATTTTCAAAAGTAATAAAATTCTTTGAAGAAATTCAATTATTTTCAAAAGTAATAAAATTATTCACATAAATTCAACTATTTTCAAAAGTAATAAATTCTTTAAAGAAATTCAATTATTTTCAAAAGTAATAAAATTCTTCGCAGAAATTCAATTATATTCAAAAATTCTTAAAAATTCTCGTCAAAATTTCAATTATCTTTAGAAATAATTATAATTCCTCTCCGAAATTCAATTATATTCAAAAATTTTCATAAAATTCTTGACAATATTTCAATTATTTTCAAAAATTTTCCTAAATTCAATGATTTTTAATATAAAATATTTTAATAAAATTTTCCAAAAGAATTCAATTATTTAAAGAAAATTTTAATAAAATTCTACGCTAGCCTTTAATTATTTTCATAAAATAATAAAAACTTGATAGGAATTCAATTATTTACAAATTTATTAAAAATTTCTTCGCAATCATTCAATTATTTTCATAAATAATAAAATTTTTACAGGGATTCAATTATTTTCCTAAATAATAAAACTCATTGCAGAATTTCAATTATTTTTAATACCTACAATTTTAATTGAATTCCTCGAAAAATGTATTTATACTCTTAAATATTTTTAATTGAATTCTAGTAGAAGTTTCTAATAAAAATTGAATTATAAATGGCGAGTACAGTTTCAATTTAAGATAATAATTAAATATTAAAATCATTAGAGCGTAAATTTTTAAAAATAATTGAATTTTGAAACGGTTTCAAATTAAAATTTTTGAAAATCTGAATTTTTCATCTTTTTAACTAACAATTCTGTGGAATTAATTTTTTTGAAAAAGTTTCATTGCTGATTTTTTTTTTTAAATTATTTGAAATTTTTATTTTCTAATATATATTTAATTGAGGAATTTGTGAATAATTGAAATTTTTTAAAATTGAATTGTAAAGAAATTAATTTGAAAATTCTCAAAGAATTTTTTCAAAAATTATTAAAAAAAAAATAATGCATCTATAGAAGAAAACTTTATTTGTGAAAATAATTGAATTTTTCGATTAATAAATTAAAAATAATATAGAAATTCTTGAAAAAGTTTTATTATTTATGAAAATAATTGAATTCTTGCTTAGAATTTTATCAAAAAAATTTTTTTGAAAAAATTGAATGTCCATGAAAAATATTATTAGTGAAAGTATTTGAATTATTGTCAAAAACTGTATAAAATTTTTTGTTAAATAATTGATTTTTTCTAAATTTTTTGGAAAATGCTATTTTAAATTAATTTGAATTTCTGTGGAAATTTTATTATTTATGAAAATAATTGAATTTTATAAAAAAATTTTTTTTAAATAATTGAATTCTTTTGCGAAATTTTATGAAAATACTAGATATTGAAAATAATTTAATTTCGATCATTTTTTTTTAAAAATAATTGAATCGTTTTAAAGAATTTGATTATAATTTTTGAGAATAGTTTTTTGATTTCTAGCATTAGCGAATCTAAAGTAGTGGAAATTCTCAAAAATAACAGAAATAGTAGGTTTTAGTGGCTGAAATCTAAAAAAAGTACCCAAATAGTAGCATAACGTAAAAAAAGTATAGTAAATAGTAGGTTTTAGTAGATGAGTGCGAAGCCTGTGACTTCTTCTTCAAGAAGAAGGTGAAGAAGAAGAAAAAATGTAGAAAGTAGATTACAAATAATCGAATGGAACAAACAAACAAAAATATGTTCATGGAATTCGTTTTAAAATTCAACATTGTTTTTAAATTCGCAACAACCTCTCTTGATATTCTTCAAACCGCGATTCCCTCGAATTCGTCGATTGAAACGTGGTGGTGCATTTCCGGCGGCGGTCTTCTCGGTCTCTCTTCTCAAGTCGGGGGGTGGAGGTGGTGGTGACGATGATGAAGAAGGAAAAGGGGGAACAATGCAACATCCGGTCCCTTCTCTCCCACCCTATTCTTTATTGGGTCGCGTGTGTTACGTTCCATAACGCCCTGTCGCATCTCGACTTTCAGCTCTTTCAGTCTTAAATGCGATCTCAGGTGCGGTTATCCTCGGTTATCGAGATTGAGTTCGCATCGCGTGATCTTATTTTACCAAAGATAAATTTTTGCGAATTAAAATTTATTCAAAATGCAAAAATTTCTCCTCCTAAATATGAGTCTTTTATAGTATTACAAATAATTTATAATTTTGTAGTAGCTTTCAATTTCGCAATTTTTAATTTCTCCAGAATATCTTTTTAATAGGATTAATTTGATTCTGTTTTTGAAACAGGCCTAAAAAATGATTCATCATGTTAATTAACAGTAGTTCTAATTAGACGTCTTCTCAATTATGATCTGATTCATCTAATTCAATAGCATTGATATTTTTAAATATCTTAGTAGTTATCTTAATAGCTTACGGTATTTGAAAATAATATTTCTAAATTATGAGGTACAAATTCTAATCTTGACCTGAATTTTAATTGATTTTGAAAAATCGAGTGACTAATGTGTTAACAGATTCTCCCGTATGTTTACAGACAATCCCTCGTACTTCTCGCTATCGAGCGGGGGTACAACAACTGATCCCAGCACTGCACCATCTTTTGTCAATTCTGGATTGACCTCAAGAGGTTTCAGCTCATTCTTCCGTAGGAAAAATTGCAAAATGGGATCAACATCATCGGCCAGTGTCACGTCAGCATCAACAACATCGACATTGATGCGTCACGACAGCAATAGAAGTAGTAATTCCGGTTTCTCAGTTCCGTCCACACCGACCGAGGAACGTGTTCCAATGTTGTCACGTCAAAACAATGGTAGTCATCAGCGATTGAATTTTAGAAATTTATTTCGTTCGGTGAGTGCAAATCATGCGGATCACGAGAGGACACAACAATTTTTAAAGGGTGATCCAAGACCATCGGATGTTGCACCACCATCGCCGTATCTACCTCACAGATCGCATTCTCATTCGGAGAATGATCGACGAAGACCCAGAAGACGTGTTTTAAAATCGGCTAGTGAACTATTGAGTAATGATATGGTGTATTGTGGTCTCTCAGGTGAAGACGTTGTCGATGGAAGGAATATCGATAACGAACAGGATAATTCTGGTGAAGTGTTTCTTGGTGTTGATGATGCGAGGTACTATAATTTATCGTCAACATTGCCGACTGGGGGACAAGCCGAGAGAAGGAGGCATTCTATAGGAACATTTTTAGCTAAGGAAAAAAGTGTACATAATAGTGGTGTGTGCTTTGGAAGAAGAAAAACACAAGAGTCGGAAATACTTATCGAACCAAGTGTAATGGCGCCACCAATTCCCACTAGTGAGGTGAAGAAACGACGAACCAATTCGAAAACAAAACGAAGAAGACAAAGGATCTCAGGAAAAGGTGAGTTTTCCATTTTATTTCAATCTTTCACGGGTTTAAAAGAAACCCGAGCCTTTTTTACAAGAGTACTTAATAGATATATGGTATGATCATAATAGATCATAAAATAGATACTTTAAGCTTTTCTAAATTAGTATAGGTTAAGCTATACATTTACCTAGGTTTTTAACAACAATTGACGCAAATTGGTAGTGAATCTAACAATGGATGAAACAAAAATAATTCAACTGAATCACATAAACTATTAGCTTCTCTACTTAGTCTAATTATTAATGATTGATTAACGTAATTGGCTCAAAAAACATTATATTGAATAGAGAGAAGTGACGCGATGATCTTCTTGGTACCAAAAAATTAATTTCGGACAAAAGAATAGAGCTGTTTAATATTTTGAACCAGAACAGCATATCAGCGTAGAAGAATCTGGATGTGATTCTGGGAATATTTAATCTTGATCTAAGGATTTTATACTTGTGCTCATGTAAATTATAAGGCAAATTGAGTTGTCTTGCAGCGAAACGCAAAAATCGATTTTGTATTCTTTCCAATCTGATTAAAAAATATGTGTAAAAAGGAAAAGGATTGATGTATATTCAATAATGCTTTTGACAAGTGAAAAATATAGTTTTGAGAGTTAGTTCATTTCGAAACATTGATGAATTTCTTAAAACAAAACCCAGGGATCTAAGTGCTCTACTAATAACATCAGTTATGTGACTATGAAATGTTATAGCATTGTCAACAGTTATTCCAAGGCCAACTACCTGGGTCACCCTATATATCCATCTCATCATTATTTATTTCATATCTATAAATAAGCGAAGGTTTTAATTTTTGAAAAAGAAATTACTGAACATTATATCAAGTGTCATATTATTATCTGAACACCATTGATTAACATTTTTCAAATCAATTTGCAGACTTTGCAAATCGATCTCATCTACTAAAATCTGCTATTTAATACTTTTTTTATGTTATGATACTATTTGGGTACTTTTATTTAGATTTTAGCCACTAAAAGCTACTATTTCTGTTTCTTTTTGAGAATTTAAACTACTTTAGATTCGCGAATCCTAGAAATCAAAAAACAATTCTCAAAAATTATAATCAAATAGAATTTTCAAAAAAATTTCGAAAAAATCAATTATTTAACAAAGTTTGCATACAATTTTTCACAATAATTCAATTACTTTCACTGATGACAACATTTTTCATGAAAATTTAATTTAAAAAAAAAATTTTTTAATAAAATTCTAACCAAGAATTTAATTATTTTCATAAATATATTAAAACTCATAGAAGAATTTCAATTTTTTAAAATGCTATTTTAAATTAATTAATCGAAAACTTCAATTATTTTCTAAAATAATGTTTTCCACGAGAATTGAATTATTTAAAATAAAAAATTTCATATTTATTATATTTCGAAAAAATTAAGTATTTAAAACAATGTTTATAAAATTATTATAAAGAATTCAATTATTTCGAAAAATAACAACATTTTTCATAGAAATTCAATTATTCTTAAACATTTTAATAAAATTTTTTGCAATAATTCAATTATTTTTATAATTAATAAAATTCTTCTCAGGAATTTAATTATTTTTGAAAATTTTAATAAAATTCTTATCAAATATTCAATTATTTTCATAAATAATAAAATTCATCACAGGATTTCAATTATTTTTAATACAATTTTACAGGAATTGATCAAAAAATTTAATTATTCTTAAAAAAATTTAATTTCAATTTCTCGAAAAAATCAATTATTTAAAAAAATGTTTTTTTTTTAAATTCTTTGAAAGAATTCAATTATTTACAAAAATATTAGAATTTTTCACAGAAATTCAATTATTTTCAAATATTTTAATAAAATTGTTCAAAAGAAATTAATTATTATAAATACAATTTTAATTACATTTTTTTGAAATAATTCAATTATTCTTTTAGATTTAATAAAATTCTTCCTGAAAATTTAATTATTTACATAAATAATTCTTCGAAAGAATTCAATTGTGTCGATAAATAACAAAATTATTCCTGATATTCAATTATATTATAAGGAGTTTAATAAAATTCTTTGCAAAATTCAATTATTTTCATAAATAATAAAATTTTCACAGGAATTCAATTAATTTAGAATAGCATATTCAAGAAAATCAATTATTTAACAAAATTTATATACAATTCTTCACAATACTTTAATTACTTTCACTAATAATAATATTTTTCATGGAAATTTTAATACTATTTTTAAATCAATTACAATCGAAAAATTCAATTATTTTTACAAATAAAGTTTTTCACAAGAATTCAATTATTTAAAATAATATTTTCGTAACATTAATTATATTTAAAAAAGAATTAATTATAAAATTCTTCTGAAGAATTTAATTATTTTCAAAAATAACAAAATTTTTCACATAAATTTAATTCTTTTCAAACATTTTAATAAAATTTTTCGCAATAATTCAATTATTTTCATAAATTATAAAATTTTTCTCAGGAATTAAATTTTTTTAAAACATTTTAATTCAATATTTCGCAATTATTCAATTATTTTTATAAATAATAAAATTCACCCCAGGAATTGTTAAACAACTGTGATTAAGAAATAGAAAATTTATTTATTTGGAAATTTTATTAAAGTAGTAGATATTGAAAATTATTGAAATTAGGACAAGAACTTTTTTGACATTTATGAAAATAATTGAATTTTGGAGAAGAATTTTGTTATTTATAAAGATAATTGGGATTTTTATGAGAATTTTTTTTTTAAATTTTGAACATAGTTGAATTTTATAAGAATTTTATTTTTTTTTAAATAGGTACTTGAATTTCTGAAATACTTTCAAAAATACATTTTATTTTGTATGTTTAGCGATTCTCTCTATAGTTATTTTCTTTTATTAAAAATTTTGCATTGGGGATTACAAAATTTTAAATAAATACAATTGAAGTTCGTTATTCCAAAGTGAAACTAAAATAAAATCTCATCTATATCCGAAAATCTGAGAAAATGATTCAGGACCCTCTCGAGCTGTATTTTATGGTGACTTTCATATAATAGGGGCCTATATAATAAAAACAGATTTCAGAATCGATCTCACCGGAGTAAAATAGAGCGTTTTTAATACCGGATCGTAAAAATTTTTAACAATCTAGCCCGGAACTTTTAAGATTTTATTCAGAGTTGGATAATAACCTATAACAATGAATAAAATCTTAAAATTTCTGGGTTTTCTAAAAGTTCTATTGAGGCTGAAGTCCGTTTTTTAAAGAAACGAAAAATCAAGAAAGAATTTTTTGTCAAGTTTAATTCATCTCTACTTTTCATTTTCGTAAAAATTTAAATTAAATTAAATTAAATTAAATTTTTTAATTTTTTAAATTTTAAAAATTAATTAATTAATTAATTAATTAATTAATTAATTAATTTTTAAATTTTTAAATTTTTTTTTTTTTTTTTTTTTTTTTATTAAATTTATTTTTTTATTTTTTTTTTTTAAATTTAAAGACTTTATATAGTTTATTACTTAAAAGTTATTTACTCAAAAAATAACATCAACAAAAAAGACAACACCAGTAATTTAAACCAATATTATAAAAATCAAAAGTGGATTAAAAGTAAAATTTATTTTTTTACCGATAATGGGCTTCGATTTTCAGACATGGTCCAACCTTAACTAAATTTTTTTTAAATGTTTATAAAAAGATGGTCCAACCCTGACTATCTTCTCCTGTCATTATATTGCTATTATCTTATTTTATATATATATTTTTAAGCTATTGTTTGTATAGAAATTTTTAAGTTCTTCTTTTCATAAAACTAGAGTTTTATTATTATAATTTTTGTTACAAATCGAAAATGAATTCTATGAAAATGTTCCTTGGAGGACTTCCTTTTTAAAAACGAAAAAATAGAAAAGAAATTTATTTCCAATTTTTATGTGTTTAACTTATTTCTTCACCTAACAGTGACTTACAAAGAATTTAAATTTGAAGCCGCAAAATTATGTTAATATCGTTTATTTTTTTTAGTAAATTTTTGATACTAGTTTTTTATTGTTCCCTATCTTGTAAAATTATTTGAAAACTAGGCTGACGCGTTTATTACTTTTCAAGTTGCGCTAAATAATGAACTTCCTGTCTTGCTCAACTGATTATGAAAATGAGACTATAGTTTAAAAATGACGTCTAGCGCATTCCATCTTTCTCAAAGTACTTGCAGATTAGATATTGACATTTATATATTGCCATTTTATCATTTAACATATTTAATTAAATTTTTTATATTTTTAAAAAATTTTCCCACTTTACACAGCATTGAAACTTGCAGCAAACTTAACAAAATTTTCTCAACAATTTCTCTATGAAATAAGGGGAAATATTCTCAGATATTGATGCAATTTTTGATGCTGTATGGCTGTAATCGATAATTTCTTAAATTTTTATTCAACTCTTAGCTATTTACTCAAGTATTGTTAATTTGTACATTTACGAAAATCGTCTATTATAATGGACCAATGATGCGGGTTTGTTCATTATATGTAAATTCTCAATCAACTTTGCGTGGGAACTGAAAATACAGAATATATAAGGATCATAGTTCGTTGAGCGCATTGTTTCCATGTGTCAGAATCAATTCACAAATATACGTGTAACAATAAAGTACATTGCTGTGTATGGGTTTGCAAGTTGTCCACTAATTGATCAATACTGGGTCAACCAGGAAAAAATATATATATACATATAAAAATAATTTTTCTATCATTTTTTTTTTGACAATAATTTTGAAATTATAATTATATATTAATTATCTATATTATTATATATAATTAGTCGGTGTTAATCAATAAATTAAAATCGAATCCATTAGTAATTAGGTAAAATAAAAACAGCAAGCAATTAATAAATAAAAATCGAATTATTATTAATTATTCATTACATTTAACTAAAAATATTTAATAACAAATTTAATATAGGTCGCAAAGATTGAT